GATAATCACAGTTAAAAACACCATGATTCATTTGCCATCATTAATCACTGGAACCCTGGCTGCCTCCCCCTGTCCTCTCTTCCTAGATTTGAGGGATCAGGGTGTCTGCTCACAAGGGGTCTGAAGGGCCATCATTGCTGGGGGTGAAGCAAGATCAGAAGTGCGTCTTTGAAAATGAGTGTGAGTTATTTGTTTGCTTCTTTTTTAAAGTAATTGAAGTCTGACCTAAATTCGGGGCCTTTATTATGTGGTGGGTGTAGGACGGATTATTTTGTGACTGCACTCTGTTCACATCACAGCACTAAGCAGCGCTCAGATGATTTGTTGGTGCATTAGAAAGTTTTTGCAAAATGGACAAATCCATACCCAGGCACTTTATTTTCATTAATAATCCAGCGTTTTTGTTCAGACAATGTAATAACCCAAACGGTGGGCATTCACATTTAACAGGTATGGGCAGATTTGCCAGAGGAATTCTTTGGATTTGAATAGAGAAGGGAGGTTGATGAAAGTGATCCCAGTGGGAGACCACTGCCGTGGTGCTGACGAGAGGGAGCTGCTGCTGAGGGCGGCAGCCAGCCCGGGATGGGGCCGCGATCTGTTGCTCCGTCCCGCAGACGCTGGTTTGGGCAGCGCCCCCAAGCGCTGGTCAGTTGCCCCAGACGCGTGTGCGGGGCGGGGCGGGGCGGGGGGGGGGGGGGGCGCGGGGGCGCGGGGAGGCGGCCGTGCCCTGCATCGCCCGGCAGAAGAGGCCCTCTTGCTTCTCCATTAACTGGACCCGAACGCTCCGACACCCGCGGAGTGCTGGGTGCTCATCCCGGTTGCGGAACCACGTGCAGCTCTGCCTGTTCGTGGCGCGGGTGGTAGCGAGCTGGCACAGCAGGTTATAAAACGGAAAGTGGGTTTGACAGTCGTAATCTGATCAGATACCATGGACCAGATGCCTTGGGACCGCGTGAAAGTCTTTAGCGTCCACCAAATACTCGAGTATCTGCGACGGGCTGTGTGGGGTCCCTACCAGATGGGTGTGGGGGCAGAGCGCCCCCTTCCCTGCCTTGGCCGTCGTGTGTCTTAGTCTTTGTGTTTCCCTTTGGCGTCTCCTGGTCTCTGTCCCCCATCTTGTGCACCATGTGTCCCTGAGGGGAGTCGCACCTGTGTCTGAGTCTGCTGTAAGGTGTTCAGTCTACCTCAAGGGGTCATCATGGTCAACTCTGTCCCATAGCAATCCTCTGACATCGCCACACACACTGGAATGTATATCTGCCCCTGGCCCTGCCTTCCCTGTGGGTAACCTCCTGACCCCGGATCTTTCCTGTAATCACCACAAACTCCTAGTGCAAATTGGATGCTGCTTTAAATGTGAAAACAATTGTTCAAAAGCTATAAAACCTGAATGAAAGCTAAAGCTGAATTTATAAGCCTTGTTGCATATGAGCCAAAAGTGCAAAAAGCTCTATATAATGAACTAACCTGCCACTCGTATAAATATAAATATATATAAATATATTAAAATCAGACTGTTCTACAAAATTGTGTATTTGTATTTTTGTGTACGTACAATTTTCTGCTAAGCAGAAGGAGGATGTAGTATAGGATGCTGTGAGAAGAGATTTGGTTTAATCCTATTTCTTTGTTACTTATTTTTGTTAACATCAGATGCCTGTCTTTGTCTTCTATGTGTATGACACTGTTTGGAAAGCTGCAGTATCTCTCTTCCTTAGGTCCAGAGTCCAACAGAGAATGAAATCTGGGGTTTAGAGAGTTGTCCAGGCCACCAAACATGGAGAAGTGGACAGAGCTTGGCCCTCTCCTGCCCAGGAGCTGCTTGCGGTCCTGAGGCAGCAGTGAGGCAGGGCACGGCCTCTGGGAAGCTGAATCTCACTTCTAGAAAGCAACTTCCAAAACAAAGGACTGTCAGATCTCTCTAACATAAGACTCCACCGGGTCCCTCAGGGGGAGGTGCAGGACCTCTCAGTTCTGGGCCAGAAGTCTGCCCAGAAAGGAGCAGGGGGCTCTGCCCAGCTCTAGTGCCCAGCTGACTGGCTGTCCCTGGGCTCTGTGTCCCTCTTCCGAGTAGTTGCTGCCTTTTTCAGACCAAGTTACCAAAATGCCTCCCCTCTGCCGAGCTGCTGACGCTTCATCTACCAGACCTCCAGCCCCAGTTCCCTGGAGCATCTCAGAGCCCACTTTCCCGGTGCTAACACACAAGAGGGGGATAAAGTGGCTGCCAGTAATGGCCAGAAACCAACCATCTGAGAGGCCAGGCTGGAAGACAAGCTCTGTGCGCCAGGGCGGTCGCCTTTCCCCCCCGGGGGAGGCGTCAGGCACCCTGGGCCCGGGCCCCACCCCCGCTGCCGACCCACCTCTCAACCCCAAGGCAGTCCCTCTTGGCGTGAACCTTGTCTAGGGAGAGTGATACTGCACCTTCACCTGTGGGACTCATATTTATAACAATGTGTAATGACTGTAGCAAAAAGCCCTTGTTTCTAGATGTAAATGGTCAAAGAAACAAGTGCTCTATTGTATTGATTAAAAATAGTTCAAATGAGTCCTGTATCATTGTATCTCCTATTCTGGATTAGTGCCTTTTGGACAGTAGACTGTTCTGTAATTAAAATGTAGTATACTGCTTTTTTGTACAGTTTTGTTTTAATAAAACTTTTTTTTAATTTGTGTTTATTTTAGTATTGTACCTATTAGAGAATAAAACGTATAACTGAACAAAGACTGGCCGGATTTCTTTGGGTATGGAGGGTCGCCTGGGAAGCGCGTCGACACTGACAGAGAGAGGGGCGTCCGCGTTCTGTTTCAGACATCGGTGCCTTTGCTTTAAAAAGCGATTGGTGCGCCCGGAGACCTGAGGATGCCTGGCAGAGGTCAAACACTGCCTGGTGAGAGGGAATGCCACCTGCTCACAAAAGGCCCTGAGTCCGTCCACCTCTCCCGGAACTGCCTTCTCTGTTTGGGTGTGTCCACCCCGGGAGTGGCTGCGCCTCTCCACAGCTGTCCTGCCCGTGGTGCCCTCATGCAGGCCCCAGCCTCCCTCCCTCTCCTCCCTTCCCACCCGCTTTCCCCATCCCAGAACCACTGCGGTCCTAGGGCTTCTCCACCGCTGGGACCGCAGCCTTCTCCTTTCTTGTGCTGAGTGGTGAAGTCCCACACACCTTACCTCTCCCACGCCGGGCCACATCCCAAGCACCTAGTTTTCTTAAAGGAGCCATCTTTCCTGGGGCTTCTTGACCTTTAGCAGTGAAAAATGAAATCAAAGAAAGCTGAAGCTTCGTTGTGTTTCTTTAAAGACTTATCCAGGGCTCAAGGACAACGTGCCCGAGCCCCCTCTCACCCAACAGACTCAGGTTGATTTGCTTTTTACTCCTCCTCAGAGGAAGCCTAAGAAGTAAATGGCTTTCTTCCCATACATGCATCATTAGAAAAGGCTCTGCTGAATTTTAAGTTGCCCCCCTAATCCTAAGTCACAAGTGGAGGTGGGCGGGAGATGGGGGCGGAATGCCGAGAACCATCTTCCCCTCACGCTCCTCTGTTTGGGCCCAAACTGCTTTCTGCTTCCTTCACACCCGCCTGCCCAGCGATACCCCCTCCAACTTCTCTCCTCTGAGCCCTGCAAACACACCACACTGGAGGGAACCCCCTCAGCCCCTACAGCCCCTGGGGCCCCTCCTGCCAACCCCGTGCCCTCTAGCCCCGGCTGTGGAGCTCGTCTCATTAGGATCACTTGTCTGCACTGCTTGCTGCATGAGGCCTGGCGCAGGACAAGGACACAAGCGTTCACTGACTCAGAGAGTGACTGAACGAACTAAATGGGACGTGTCCACTGGAGCCCCTTTTTGGGTCTGCACAACTGAAACAAGCCCACCGCCTCAGGCAGACCGAGAGGGTCTCAAGAAAACGAGTAGCAACTCGAAAAATGGTGAGCATTTATCCCAGGAGCTAGATCTGTTCTACATTCAGACTCCTGCCTCAGAGCAGGGCAGCTCCTGGCTGCCAAATTTCTGTCATAATTTGGCAGTACTTTCTCTGAGAACAACTCTTTGGCACTTATGAATATAAACAAGTCCTGCAAACATGTGCCCTGACTGGTGGCCACCACCAATCGGGCCTCTCCATCTGCAAGGACATTTACATCAGCCGAGGGCCACGCGAGCGGCCGGTGCAGGGCTGCCCAGGAGTCGGCTCCCTGTGGAAACAGCACCCTGGGCTTGCCTCGTCCCTGTCCGGTGCCGGGCTGTGCTCAGGGACCTTGAGTTGGTCCCCGCAGGTCATCCAAGAGGAGACCTGCTCCCCCCTGCCCAGGTTGGAGGGGCCAGACCTGCCACCCCGAATGCCATTGTGAACCATGCCGGGTGATGGCTGGGAGCCACGTCCTGATGGGGACAAGCAGGAGCCTACAGAGAACACTGGGTTCCACAGCCCGTGGGGATGCGGCCCAGCCCTGCCAGGGTCCACAACTATCACCTCCTTCCCAGAACCGCCTCTGCAGCCATGGAACAAGTCCCCAGCTCCCTAGCTGGGGGTCTGATGTGAGGTCGATCTTGTAGATCAAGGCAGTGGGGCCCTGGCCTGAGCACTGGGACATCCTGCTCCAGAGAAGCGGTCTGTCCCAGCCCCCCTCCAACCCCCTCCAAGCCAGCTGCCTCCCAGTTGGCCCAGAAGCTCCCATTACCCGGGGTCAAAGGCCACCCCAAAGTTTCCGCTGGTTCTTGGCGCCCGTGAGAGATCTCAACTAAGGGGATAAGACTGATCACAGAACCCACTGGACCTCCCTGGTTCTTCAGTCCAAACCACAAAGAGCAGAGAGGCCGGAGACATGCACTCAGGGACCTGTTGCCTCCCTGAACCTCCCTCTTCTAGCCTCAATCTTGAAAAGCCCTGGACCCAGGCCACCCCTTGCCCTGTGGGACAGTCTACAATGAGCGCAAACACCACCACGTCTGGGTTCACGGAGGGAAAGGCAACAAGACCAACCTCAGACATAGGCACGAAATCGGGTTTTATTTAGAGGCTGCTGGTCATATGACAGAAAGGCATATATGGTACAAAATTACAGAGGTTTAGTTCATCTTATAATACAAATCATTCAGTCTTTACAATTCATTACAGAGTCTTTGGATTTTTTTAAACTCCCATTTCATGTGCAGCAAATCAATACAGTCCCCCAATCAGAACCACTTCGTTATACGTGAACCCATCCTATTTACAGAACTGTTCCAAGACCCTCCCCACAAAATTAGTGTCAGCAGCCCGGCTAAAGGCACGACGGACTTCTCTGAGAAAGAGAGACCGGTGGAGATCATCGAGCCAGTGTCTTTAGGCACAGAAGACAGGCTGCACTCGCCGTCCCCAGGGTAAGGCACGACAGACAGATGGCCGCCTCCTTGGGCACTCCCTGTCCAAGATGCAGGCCTCAAGCGACCTCAGGCAAGTAGGGCTAATCTTAGCCAGGAAAATAAATACCCTTGAACTTCTTGTGGGTCTCACAAGGAACATTAAGCCAAGAGGAGAAGGGGAAGGGGAGTAATGGGGGATGGAAACACCTAAAGCCTTTCAAATCTGCAAGGGTCCCATTCACAGCTCAACGGATGCTCCAATCTCTCAGCAAACACACAAGGCCCTTCATGGCTGGCCCCAGTTACACGCGCTGGCTGTGCTTCCTTCTGCTCCCGCGCCCTCTGGCCAGGCTGGGATTCTGGACAGCTGTCCCCACTGCAGCCCCTATCTGGCCTCTGACAAGTCCTCATGCTGTACCTGTGGCCAGGCAGCCCATCCCCTCTTGCTGTCACCCCCAATTCCAGAGCCTGGGACCTGCCGGAACCACGTCCGGAATCCTAGCGTTGACACATCATTTAACATAACACCCGTAAGGAGAGAACAGAAGACAGGAAATGGGGCCCTTCCCTCTCTCTCCCATGATCACACGACCCAAAAGACGGCTCCTCTGGCCCAATAAATGCTGGGTTGTGGGGACTGCCTGGGTTATGGCTTTAGTGACCATGTCTACTTCATGTCACTGCTTTCCAGTAACGAGTTACCGTTGAATCTGCACCAAGAAGCCAGAGCGAAGGCCACAGACCAAGCAGGACGGGGGCCTCCATCTGACTTGCATCACTCTCCCCGGGAAGAAGCGGGGCTACCCCGGGCTGCCCAGGAAGACAGCAGACTGCAACGGAGTGACACCAGCACCCCGTGTTATCCACCGACACGTGGGCTGGAAGGGAAGTTCCGGTGGCGGAGCAAGAAGAGAGGAGGCTCAGGGCCGCAAACCCTGTCCCTGCAAGGATCCGGCCCAGCCCTCATGGCTGCCAGGGTGCCCGCGGGGCCACAGCTGGGGCACAAGAGCCACACCCGCTTCTCCCAGCACTGGTGACCGCCCAGCCCTGGTGACAGCCCAAGAACACCTACAGGACGGCCCGCTCCTCTCTCACACGCTGCGGGACGGATCCCAAAGCTCACTCCACTCGCAGGAAACCCCTGGCAAGAAGCCGCTGTAGCACCTTCCTCCCAGGGGGACCGACAACCTTCCCACCCAGGAAGGCAACAGAGCTGCCCCGCCCGGCGCTCGGTCAGGTGCTCAAAGGCCCAGCATGGCCCGAAGCCCACCCACGCTGGGTGTGGGGCGGGAGGGGGGGCTGCTGGAGAGGCAGAGATGCAGGAACAGGAAGGCGGGGTGGGGGATCTCAGGCAGAGGACGCTTGCCAGCATTTAAAAAGCTGGCCCCAGGCAAAGGGGAGGTGGGGAGCATGGCAGAGAGAGGTGGTCTGGAAAGTCTTCCCATGCCAGGGCTGCTCTGAACTCAGTCTGTCCAGGCTCTTCCACTGTCCCTGCAAGCTCTGGCCCCCTAAAACCCTGCTCCAGCCCAGAATTCCATCACGGTCTGCTGCATCTGAACTAACCCTAGTGACAGAGCGAGAACCACAGCCCTCGCCTCCCAACTGACCTTCCCCAGATGGTTCCACAGAGCGTGGTCGGTGCCACGTTACCGGCAGTTGGGCTCCAGCAAGTACTTTGCCCAGTAAGTGAGGATCACGAAGGGCCAAGCCACCTTCCATTGGTTCTCCCCAGGGAGCCTGGTGGGTGACGTGGGCCCACAGGCAGGTAACCCGAGGCTGCGGGAGCAAGAGCTGCTCCCCTCAGAGAAATGGGCAGTGGCGGGACCTACGTCCATGAACCACACGGATGCTGGTGTCCACAGAGACCGGCTGTTAGAAGACTTCTGCGCCGGGAAGGACGTTAAGCAGAAGAGCAGAGCCCAGGACCCATAGCACGCAAGACCGCGGGGGCGTAGCTGCCGCCCCGGGCGGGATCCCCTCACACCAGAGGCGCCCAGTAGGGGCCCAGGCCAGCCCTCCCGGGGGCACACCACCAGCCCCGATGCGCTCGTGGCCGCCACGACCGGAGGAACTGAGACACCGACCTGCAGGGCCAACGGCCCCCTGCCGGCGAGGACGGGACTGCGAAGGCTTGGTCCCGGGGGAGCTGGGCGCTCAGAGCGCCGGGGCCCCAGGCGGTGGGAGGGCAGCCAGGGTGCTGTGAGGAGGGGCCGGTGCTTCTGGGGAACAGCTGAGAGCGCCGCGCTGGGAGTCCGACGCTGGCGCTTCTACAAGCTGGAAGGCAGCGCTCTCTCCTCGGTTTCAGCCTGTTCCCCTTGAGAAGTTCCCTTCCAGCTCGGCAACCACGAACATCTGCGGAGCTGAAGCTACGCCGGGGGTGTAGCTCCGGCCCCATCCTCGGGGGGCAGCTCGCGCTTTGGGCCGGCGAGGCCGAGGTCCCGGGAAGGCGCCGAGCGTGGACCTCCCGGGCAGAGGTCCAATCGCCGGCCGGGGAGGTGGGGCGGGGCAGGAGCGGCAGAGCTCCACCTGGCGCACAGCTGGGCCCCAGCGGTGGGCGGGCACCGCCACGTGTAATTAATGGGAGTTAATTAATCTCGGGCTCCTCCCTGGGGGATCAAGCCTGCAGCAGCCGCACACCTGGGGGGGCCCATGGGTCTCTGCTTCCCCAGCTGGCCGTGGGCCCCACACAGCCTCACTCAGGGGCAGGGAACCTGGAATTACTGTTCAGGAGGGGCTTCCAATCCCTAGAGAATGAGACCTTTCAGAAAAGCCTTTCTGGGCATCGTTTTTTAAGAGTCTAAACGTGAGAACTAAAAACAGGCCTTCCAGGAGTGCTGTGTACGAATCCTGACCCAGGGCTGTGGGCCTGAGCAGCCATATGTCCACCAGGCTCCTGCTGACAGCTGGGGTCCATGAGGCCCTGGTGAGGACGCCCAGGGCAGGTGGTCACTGGACTAGGGCTGCAGGAAGTAGGAGAAGCAGTGGCTCTGCCATGGAAGGGCCCCATCGGCCCTAGCACCCTGTGGCTCCGCTGCCCAGCCAGCACGTCCCCCTCAGGGCCACGCACCACCCAGTCCTGCAAGGCTCCAGCTTTCTGCCCGCCTCCACAGACGCCTTCCCCAGTGCGCCCGGCAAGAAAGGGCTCCAGGGCAGGAGGGGGGGCAATGCTGTTGAAGGGCTCGTATTGTCCGGGCCACGTCTGTGGTTCGGCAAAGGCCAGCCGCAGGGATGTAGGGAGCCCTTCGAGGCCACAGTCCTCCAGGCTCGGGTCAGGGAGTCAGGGTAGAGAACTGCCAAAAAGTGAAACTAGTCTAAGGTCCTTCTAAGAAACCAGAATTGCACCAAATAAGGTCGTGATGCCTCTGACTTCGTTACTGCAGAAGCACAATAAAGTAATTCTCCAAGTTGTCACTGTTACCTTAGAGGAAGGCCACTGGTGTATCTGCGTCAGTCATGACATAAGGAGGGGCATCACCCTCTCGCCCCTCTGGGAACCTGCACCCTCTGAGTGACGTCACAGGCTGCCGAGGTGCAAGGCAAGCCCTGGGCACTCTTGCCTGGGCAGGCGATTGTGGCTCGCGAGTGATTTTGGATTTTGAAAAAATAAATATAAATAAATATATTCCAAGCACTCTGTTAGGGAATAAATGGAAAAGAGAAAACACTTTGCAGGTATTAAGACACTAACACACCCACAAAGAAAGCCCTAAGAAACCCTGTGGAAAGGAAGAGAGGAGGATGGGAGGGGCCAGGCCCAGAGCCCCTTGCTAGGGCACCCAGGACCCTATGCCAGGAGCCCCAGGAGGCCAGCCAGAGGCACTTATGGGAGCTTGTTACTTGGTGTAGGGACTCCGGGGGTCAGAGGGATACAGTGAGCTTAGGGAGCAAGCCAGAACCAGCATGGGAGGAGGCCCCACCTCTGCAGGGAGAGAAAGGCACTGGGATGGTTAAGATGTTAATGGGGTCATTGGAACAGAAAAAAAGAACAACAGTCCCAGGGGAAAACCCCAGGCATGGGCCCCACTGACACCGACAATCCAGGACTGCTCTGGGCTCCTAGAACCATCAACCCCTTTACGTTGCTGAGGTGCCTCCCCATTCTCTGGGCAGAGGAAGACCTGAAGCTTCCAGAGTCCTGGGAGGAGCAGGGAGAGGTCAGCAGCCCTGCGTGGTGCAGAAAGGACACCTCGCCATGCTCCCCACGGAAGGGGGTTTGAGGTGTCCCTGCCCACTCAGGTCCCAACTCCACCCCAGGGCTGTCACTGGCAAGGCTCCGAAAAGGCACCCCCCCGCCTGTCAGCCTCTGCCTGGGAAGCAGAAGGAAGCAGACTGGCAGCCCGGGAAGAGGCAACCCGGGGTTGGGCGGGGGGCGGTGTGTGGTGCCCAGCACTGGTTTAGCTGGCCCAGGATTTTCGGTTCTCGGGGTTCTTATGGCTCCTGTCGGCCCTCAGCGCCATAGTGCCCTCTGCCTTGGCCAGAGCCGCCGTCAGAGAGGCCAGGTTGGTGGCGGAGCCGGAGAGAGTGCTGCTCCTGCGGGGTTCAGGGGCACCCTGCAGCCGGAGCCCCGCGCTGCGCCGCCGGCCCGCGCCCGCTGCTCTGCGCACCCGGCCTGGCCTCACCAGCAGCCCGTAGCCGGGGTTGCACTTGAAGTACTGCTTCCCGCCGATGGAGCCGTCATTCTTACCTGAGGGGAAGACAGAAGAGCACACAGAGGTGACTTCCCAGGACCCTTATTCCCTGTCTCTGTGTGCCTGATGGCTCCCCGGGGGGCACAGGCACTCTCTGTTGAGCAAAGGGGGCTGGGGTGACTGTCTCGGGGCAGCACATGGTGGTCCCCAAGGACGGGTAGCCTCAGATCCTGCCGTTTCAATGCCCGGGTGCAGGCAAGTCACCAATCCCACTCCACTCTGGGGCACGGACCTTCTCCAACCTGGCTGGTCCACACGTAAACCTAGGATGGAGTTGTGGGTAGAACGATTATTTTTCCTGAATCTATCAGATGGAAACTGGCAAATTACGCCACTGTAGCTAGTTAGATGTCACACTTGGGTGTTATCGAGATGGTGTGAGGAAGTTTCCTTTGTAAAAGCAAAAGAAATGCATTAAGGTGAAGAATGAGAACCCAGTGCTCAAGATAGCAGAGGGAGAGGGGCCCTCGTGACCCCTAAATGCCAGCGTGCCATGGGGATGGATTGGTGGGGAACCTGATCTCTGCAGCAAAAACAGTCATGAATTTTCTATGCTGTCTGCACATCTGACCTGCCCTCCCCCAACCTCTGCTGTCTATCAACAAAGGTCCCCTCAGTGCATCTCTCAAAGCACTTAACAGACCATCGCCCTCCAGGTCGGGCCACTGCTATCGCACAGCTCCCAGGACACACACACCAACCCCCAGCACTGGGTCCCTGCTTCTGGGCTCCCCATCATCCTGCCCACTCAATCCATTTCATTTTCTTCATAATACTTATTACTATCAAATTTTAATTATTTATTTGTCTACTTGGCAATTCTCTCCCTCTTAAAATGAAAGTCCAGTGAAACCACAGACTCTGTTTTGCTCCCCAAGGTATCCTTGGGATCCAAGACGGTGTCTGCAACATGGCAGGTGCTTAATATGAACTGCTGGATGAACTCATCTATTTGTTAATCCCTCTTTAATTCTTGAGTCAACTGTAGACACAAACTTCTCTCCCAATTCCTCTGCACATAGTAGCAGACTCTCCTTTAAAAACTATTCCAGCTACATGCCTCTTCTGGAACCACTTACAACTTACAGCATCATTCACAATCGCCAAGAAGTGGAAACCACCCACATGTCCAGCCAGTGACGAATGGACGAACACAAGGTGGGCAAAACGGACTACTGTTTGGCCATAAAAAGGAATGAAACACTGACAGGAGATGTAACCGGATCTACCTTGGAAAATCATGCTAAGTGAAAGAAGCCAGTCCCAAAAGCCCACCTGCTGCCTGATCCCCTTTATGTGGAAGTCTAGACTGGGACATTTCATATGCATTTAGAGGGGCAAAAAATAGACTATTGGTTACCTGGAGTTTAGAGAGGAGGCTACCTTACAAATGGAAATGTGGCTTTTTGGGGGGGATTGATGAACCTATTCTAAAATTAGACTGCAGTAATGATTGTACCACTTTGTAAATATATCAGAACCATTAAACTGTATACTTTTAACAGAAAGACTTTACAGTATGTGACTTGGTATCACGACAAACCTGTTTAAAAAAAAAAAAAAACCATCTGGGGACGCCTGGGTGCCTCAGCTGACTGACTTCTACTCAAGTCATAATCTCAGGGTCCCAAGGATGGTGCCCCATGTGGGGCTCCCTGCTCAGCAAGGAGTCTGCTTCTCCCTCTGCCTCTACCCCTCCTCCTGCTCGGGTTCTCTCTCATAAATAAATAAATAAATCTGAAGGACCAAGTAATTCCTTAAGTTGTGGCCCTGGTTTTTCGGAAAACAGTAATGCAGTCGGTGGCAGAATGTCCCGTTCTGTAATGAGACTGAAGAGACGGGTAAGTCTGTAATGCACCTTAGATCACCCACCTTCTGTTCTCCAGCCCAGGCACCCAGCACCCCCACAGGCACCCGTGTTTGCAACCGGAGCAGACACAGCACACAGAGCTACTGTCAGACTGTCACAATTCAAAAGCAGATGCCTCTGTGACTTAAAAAAAAAAAGTACTTAGGTTCATTACCAAATTAAAAGTAGCTTTCAATTAATGACTTAAGTTTCTGAAAAATGTCTGGAGGTTAAGAAAAGAGAACACTTAGGAAACTCTTATTCCTGATTTGAAAAGTAGTGACCTGGAGGCTTAGGGAGGTCAGGGGCCCAGAGCAGGTTCTGGGCAGTGCCGGGGGAGGGCCAGCACTCCTCTGGCCCCCCACTCTTAGCTGAGTTGCTGCAGGCAGGGAACCAGAGGCCCAAGCAGCACCACTCACCTGAAGGTAAGTCCAGCTCCACTCCGACCCACGTCCCCTCCTGAAAGTCGGTGGGGCCGATGTATCTCACGATGCCCATTTTGTTGGTGCCCACAGTGACATATTCTCCCTCTTTGAGCCACTCTGGGACTTCGCTGGCTTCTTCGGAATCGGAGGAAACTTCCAGCTTTCCCAGGACCGGTGCCCGTGCCCCACCGTCGCCCAGCGCCCCTGAGGCCAGTAGGTCCTCCTCCGCCGCGGAGGAGCAGCTGGGGTCTCCGCCCAGCATGCGTGTGAAGGACTTCAGCTCGGAGGTCCGCACCTTCTGGATTCTGAACGGGGATGAGGGAGCAGGGGACGGAGACAGGAGGTCGGGAGGCACCTGTGGTTTGGAGACGTCCAGCTCTGAGCCGGCGGCCGGCTTCGCACGGTCCTCTGGCCTTCCCAGCCGCTCCTCGCCCCCGCTCTGCCCGCTGCATGATTCCTTCTGGGGGGCGCAAGTTGGGAGAGACGTCGGGGGTGCACCTGCATCTTCCTTCTCCGAGGACACCGGCTCCTTGGTGTTGCAGGAGCCATTGCTGTCACCCCACTCATCCTGCTTTGCCGGGACCGGCAGTGACAGAAGGCAGCTCCGGCCGAGCGGGCGGGCAGGAAGGTCACTGTCAGCCACAGCAGCCGCGGGTGGAAGCGGGAGCTCCGTCTCAGGGGTGGCCTGGCAGAGGGTGGGCGGCGGCGAGCCGGGGGTCTGCCCGCCCGCGGCGGCCGCGCCGTCCAGGCCAAGGGTGAATGCATCGGACAGCGTGGCGGAGGAGACGCTGTGGGAAAAGTAGCCGCTGGAGGCCTCGCTCAGGGGACTGGGCGGCCCCTCTTGCACCTCCGGAGCCTGCGGCGTGGGCACTTTAGTCGGTCTGTCGTGGAGCTTCACAGGGGCCGGGGGCACAGTCACCGTGGGGGCCACACTGGGAGGCTGGAGCAGGGAAGGGTGCAAGGATAACTGGTTAAAATGCCAAGTCTGCGGCTCATTTCCAAAAGAACCACGACAGATTCTGCCAGTGAAAACATGGTGGCCTGGAGGGTGGAAAGCCGTGGCCATGCACTGGGGCAGCCCTGGGGCCATACCAGTGCCCCTGCTTGGTCCGGGCTCTTGCCGCGCATCCAACGCTGAGAGCCCACCATGGCCCAGGTGTCTACTGCACTCCGCACGGCACCCAGAGCTCAGCGGGTGGCCACCAGCCTGCCCCTTCCCCCTCCTTGCCTTCTGTACACACTCAGGAGTCTAACCACAGTCTGCAATAGCGTCACTCACCCTAAGAAACATATATCCGCCCTTCACCCTGTTTCTGGCACAGAGCTCCTGAAACCCTTGGGTTTCCTCAATGTTAGCAGCAAGAAAGGTGTCTTGATATTCCTAACAAGCCCCCTGCAACCACACCTGAGTTCACCTTAAAACGGGCACTCTGGGACTGCACCTCAGGATGGCAGGCCAGTTGCCAGGGGACCCACCCTTGTGATGAGAGCTTAGCCTCACAGCCTCAGGACGCAGAGAGGGGCTGCAGGGGACTTAATCATAATTGGCCAAAGATGTACTCAATCGTGCCTGTGTAATAAGGCCTCCAGAACAATCCAGAAGGACAGGCTTCTGGGAGCTGCCAGGCTGATGAACACATAGACCTGTGGGGAGAGCGGGGCACCCAGGGAGGCTGAACGTCCATGGGGTTTCCCCACACCTTGCACCATGCCTCTCTTCCATCTGGCTGTCCTGAGTCCTACCCCTTGGAGTAAACTGGTGATCTAGTGAGTAAAATGGTTCTCCTGAGTTCTGTGAAGCATTCCAACAAATCAATCCAACTTAGGTGGGGCTCATGGAAACATCTTATCTACAGCCGGTTGTTCAGAAGTACAGGTCACAACTGGGGCGTGCAAATGGCATCCAAAGTGGGGGCAGTCTGGTGGGCCTGAGGCCTTAACCCGTGGGTGCTGGCACCATCCCTGGGTAGACAGTGTCAGAATTGAGTTCAATAGCAGAACACTCAGCTGGTGTGGGACAGTGCTTACTTGGTGGTAGGCAAGAAGGCATACTCAATGGCCACGCAGGGTCTGTGAGGCCTGACAAGGCAGGAAAAGGCCCTCACCAAAGGTGCAGCAACCAGTAGGTACACACTAAATCTCCAGTCCCTCCTTACCCACCAGCACCCCTGGCCTGGCTGCACTCAGACTCAGAACTCTGTTCCCACAGAAGACTTCACGCCTTTCTCCTGCAGAGCTAGAACAAGGATCTGCTTGGGGGAGGCACAAGGGACTTAGCATAGCTTCACCAGCACAGCCAGGAATGACACTCAGGCCTGGTGGCTGACTTGCAGATCCCGGTAGGGAGTCAGGTGGAAGAGGAGACCAGCAGGCCAGTCCCATGTCATGGGTTGGGGACCCCCTGATCCAGGGAGAGACAAGCTGAGCAGCCACGTCCCCCACTGTGAAGAGGGGGTAAGCGCGGTCAAAGCCGCAGAGGCTGGCCTCCCCTTCTGGGATCACCCGTCTGAGTCACACTGGCAGAGACGCACACAGGGCCCCATTGCCTGGCAAATGACAACAGCCTCAGCTCGTCCACATTCTACCATCTCGGAGGTGCTGCTAAGGTGTTCCCTTGTTGATAACTGGAGCCATTTGAACAAGGGAGCAGATTCCCTTTCTATTCCCGATTCACAATGACAGGGGCAAGAGAGAAGGCAGGAATGGGGAATGCGGTTGGAGCACTGGAGAAGGGTGCTGGTCAGAAAAAGAAATATGTTTTCCAATATTTACGGAAAGATTATTTATATTACAGGAATGGCCATTTTCCATTTGAAATACAGGATTTATTTGAACTGGGAAACAGCTGAGATCTATAAGTCTCTTACAGTTACTTGGCTTAACTCAGCAGTTTGATAAATCATGCATTTTCACGTGAACTGTCATTTATATTCCTGTCTCCAGAGACCCTCCTTTCCCCACAAGGCACACTTTCAGGGTACGAAATTAACGGCACCTCTTGAGATTAACAGCCCATTTTTGTGATGGATCTCTAGGCTGCAAAATTTACTAAATCCAATAGATCAATAACTGTCACCAGCATAAATACTCTAAAAGATTAGGCAATCCTTCAATCATTTTTCTTTTGCAACTTGTACATGTTTTATTTATTCTTTTCTGTTTTATTTTTAATATCACTGGCCAGGCAGGGAAGAATACACAAACAAAATGACAAGAGCCTGGAATCTGAACAGGAACTTTGGTTCTGGACTCGTGGGTGCTCCATTTTCCCCTGGTGGGTAATACCTCATCACTGCCACACAGACAGTTGTCTAAGGGTCAGCTATATCCCGTCCTGAGGAGGTAACAGTCCAGTGACAGTGCCTTAGATTTCCCTGGTCATTATCCCATTTGCTTCCACATGAATCCCTTGACGTAGGCCAGAAAGTCTGACCATATGCATTTTATAATATGGCCCAGCGAGGTTCAAGGATTTATCCAAAGCCTCCAGTAAGTGACAACCAGGTATCAGAGGTCAGATTTGCAGCAACAACAGAGACCCACAGTGGCAGAAGGTGAGCCCTGATTGCACGGCTCTTTCCTGCTGAGCCCAAGCGCAGCCTGATTCCTTCCGTGAAAACACTGCAGGAAGCCGCTCCCACTTAACTGGAGTTGATAGGTGAGTGGAAACCTACTCCCAGCCTTGGGTTATTCTTTTACCACTGACACTTCGAGAGACTGCTGGGAGAGCCTAACCTTGCAAAAAGCACCAGGACGAACAGCAGAGTGGCTTGAGCTGCAGAAGCTGTGGGAGATCTGGAGCCCTCACCAGTAAGATTCGGTCTCCCTCTGTCCCACTGGCCTTGGGGCCCCAGGCCTGCCTCAGCAAAATAATGAACACCACTCACAGGGGATGGAGGCAGGGGGGGGGTGGGGGGCACATGAACACCAAAGTGTCCTGAATTAGATAGAAAGGGCCCTTCAGAAAGGACTGAATCCGTGGAGGGCTGAATTCCCTTCCAAATTATTTGCCCTTTTTTCTGTTGTTTTAATAAATAAAATTTTCCGATGAAGATACAGCATTTCCTAAGAGAATGAACACACAGTGGGAGAAAATAGATTTGCTATTCATAAGATGAGAAGTGCTGTTCATCTGTGGGAGATCATAAGAGACTATTTTCTCCCCAGCTTAGCATTAGTCTTTTCACGCTGATATCATGAATCAGAATGAAATGTAAAACTGAGAATTAAGCAAATACTTGGAATAAGGAGATTGTTCTGTTTATAGAAATCGCCTTTGCCTAGCAGTGGGCTATTAAAGCAACAGACTACATTAGCAGTCAAGCACCTAAAAGTTTAGCAATCATATGATTAACAAGTTGAAAATAGAAAAGTGGAACAAGGAAAATATAGAGGGAGAAGACAGTGACCTATATTACAGCTAATTATCAAAACAGGAACGTTAAAATGAGAAACCCATGGGTGTGCACTCAACAGTTACAGCATTGGGGCCACCCCCCTACATGTGGGGCTGCCACCAGTAAAGGTGTCCCTCCGCCCCCAGCCCACCCCCCACCCCCGTCTGACTCACCTCCAGAGCTCCGGTGGTCCCGGCGTCCGCAAGGGCACACTGCACCATGATTCGGGGCACGGGCTGAGGAAACAAGTGAATAGGCAGGCGTGAGGGATCGAGAGAAGCAGAACAGAGATAACCAGAGGTTTTCACTGAACAGACTGGAAAGCCCGTCAGGAGGACTCAGTTGAAATACACTTTCACAACTTTTGGGAATTCAGGTAAGTCACTGCCAAGTAGGCATGCCGAGGGCTAGTGGCGCTGCACTACACAGGGACATGTAAGCAGTAAGGACACAGCAAGCAGCTGGCAACACCAGAAATGTGCCGGAAACAGTTAACATACAGGGCATGTTTACACACTCACAGGCTCGCTCTCCTCTCACATACGGCACGTGTTCATCAAGGGCTGTTCTGCACACACAAATGTTACTGGACGCTAGAGACAAAGGGTTGGAACAGGAAAGATCAGGACCAAGGCTTCAGGCAGGAGGCAGAACACAAACCAAGGCTTGATGGGCAGGGAGAACTGGTGCCCTAGCAGGACTGGCGAGTGTCGTCACAGGAAGTGAGGAAGCCGGTCTGGCTAGAGCCCACCTCTGGGGCACAGCACAGAGAAGGACAGATATATGGAGGGAGGATTTGGTATCCCAATCAGGTAGGGATGAGGACCCCCAGAGATGCCTGAGTGAAGAAAGCAGGAGCTTGAGAAGATGGATCTGGTAGTAGAAGGCAAAGGGACTGGAGAAATACTTCTTAAGGCTAAGGTAGGCAGATCACTGATGAGACTCCAGCAACCGAGCAGATGAGAGGGGATGAGAGCCTGAATTAATGGCTGTGTGAGCAATAGCACAAGAAAGGACATCATTACTTATGGACAAGCAGTTGAAGGAATGTTAAAAAGTAAATGTTAAAAAACAATGTTAAAAAACAATGTTTAAAAAAAAGAGTAAAAAAAAAAAAAAAAAAGCACCAGGATAAGAAAGAGAGAGGTCAGAAGAAGAAGCTGGTAAGTGCAAAAGAGAAGAAATCAGACATCCTTTTAGCAGCTGCTGGGTTTACAATGGCGTTGGGATACAGAAACCAACAGGATTTTCTTAAAGAAACCACAAATCTACCACTTCTGCCTTTATTCCATCAACCAGCCTCTGACCCCTTCTCTGGTCTCCCTATTCCAGGACCAGAGTCTGGACCTTGCCTCAGAATGCCCAGCTCCCAGAGGATCCTGGCAGCACAGCCTCACAGGAGGAGGCAAAATTTGGTGTCGTGGTTCATTTCCATGCAGTAGAAGTGTCTTTTCTCTTGTTGGATCCAAAAGGAAAAGTAGCTGACCGCTCATCTCTTACCTAATCTAAATTGTGTAGAAAGGCAGATTTCTTATCTTTCCCTTTCCTTTCTTCTGACCCTAGGTACTTCAGGGCCTCCCAGTTCCCACGATGGTTTCTATGCCATCAGGATGTTCTAGACAGTCTGCAGGCACTCAGGCTGGACAGCCGAAGTCCGGCTTCCTACTGAGCAGCCCAAACTCTTACCGAAGGGGCAAAAGCCTATGTGGAATAAGACTGTGCACTTAGAAGGTTAGCCTGAGTTCACAGCACCAAATAACTGCATTTTGGCAAAGGGCACCACTAATAACCAATTACACCTTGCAACTGCCTTTGGGAGAAAAGAGCAAGAAGCGATTAACTCTGCTGAATTAGGGAGCGGCAGTGGGATTTGAGAAAAGACACAGAGGCCAGGCGATTAAGTAGGACATGGTAGGAGATACGGGTAAACAGATGGGAAGATAACTAGGGATAAACTAAAGGAATGTTACTTTTTACCCTGCAAACACTGGGGAGTCACTGGGGGCTTAGGGCCAGGGACAGCCACAATGAGTGGCAGGTTTAAGGAAGACAATGTGAGAGGCCAATGGAAGAGAATGAGGGAGGACACCTGGGGGGCTGGGGCAAGGCCACTAGATGAGATGAGGTCCTGAACCACAGGCCTTCCAGCCTCTCCTGGGATGCCTGGAACAGGAAAGTAGGTCCCCTCAACTCGCATGACACATCGCTTCTCCACTCTCTCACAGCACCTGTGGGAATCTCCATTCCTCCACTCTGCTGGCAGCTCAGTAGACAGTGACAGTAGAGTTATTTTCCAACAAGTATCTCACTCTACCTTACAGTCCTTGAATACAGGGGCTGCTGTCTTTTTTTTTTTTTAAATATATGATTTTATTTTGACATCTTAATTTTATTTTTTCATGTTCTAAGATTCATTGTTTATGCACCACACCCAGTGCTCCATGCAATACGTGCCCTCCTTAATACCCACCACCAGGCTCACCCATCCCCCCACACCCTTCCCCTCCAAAACCCTCAGCTTGTTTCTCAGAATCCACAGTCTCTCATCATCTTTCTTTTTGTATTTACTTTCTCCCATAGTATCTAAAGTCCCCCACAAACGGAAAGGTGTTCACAGCATACTCCTTCGTAAAGGCAGAAAAAAAGGTCTCTTAAGCTCAAACTCCAAAATACTTACATTCTTCAGTTAGATTGTCTCTAAAACAGACCAGACTGGGGTGAAACATTCCACTTTAAAGCATAAACACGTAAAATCCCACCAAGAGTGGAACGTAACCACCTACAAAGGAGCCTCTTCTAAGATGAGAGGACTCTTGCCCTCCTGAACAGAGCACGGAAACATAACCTAACACTTTCCCCCAGGACTCAGGGGAATTAGAAAACTCCAGTCAATGCTTAAAAAAAATATCTGCTGCCATGAGTGAAGGGATGGGCCTGTGACACTGTGGCATCAGTGAACCCATGGGCTTCCAGGCCCCCAGAACCCCACATCATGGTTCTGGGCCATCACACTAAGACCTCAGGTCTCCCTCACAGGTTTTGCCACACAATGACCACTTCTTCATGCAGCGACACACCTGCCTCATTAACAGGCCCATCCTGAGCCCACCACTCAGAGGAAGGGGGAAGCAGGACACTGACTGATGACATATACCTGAAATGGCTAAACCCAGTGTTGCAAAGAAGAGGGGACTGGGTCTGAATGGGTCCTGAGCAAAGAAAGTACTCACAGCACACCTCCTTCTCTGGCTCCCATGCTAGTAGCTCTGGGCGGCTCCCTCCGTGGGAACAGGTGGTGGCAGCTGCCAAAGGCCAGCTCTGGCCAAGTGAGCCTCAGGTGGATACTTCTCCAATCAAGGACTCTGAAAGGTGCAGGCTAAAGGGGGCAGGGTACGGGCATACAAGACCAGCTCTGTATTCATTTTTACTGAAGCTAGGTGACAAGCACACAGGGATTCACTGTTGTCATCTCTCTACTTTGATGTATTTCAAATTTTTCCATAATGCTGTCCTACATGAAGGAAATAACCAGGACTCTGATTCACTGTACAAATTCAGTTCAACAAAGACTTAGGTCTCCCAGCGTACAAGGCACCGCAACAGGTTCCGGGAAGAATGCAAGGATCACAACGTCACAGACTTCGCTCTCAGCAGACTGGCAAGGACATGTATGCAAATAACCAAAACATCAAGGAAAACGAAAGATACTAGAATGAAAGCTTCAAACGCAAAGAAGATTCAGAAGAAGGGATGATAAATGAAACAGGCCTAGAATATCCTCCCAGGGGTGATCTGACTTTGAGACACGGCTTGAAGACTGAGCAGCCTTTCCCAGGGCAGAGGGACACTTCCAACATGAAGAATGACATGGCAAAGGCATGGTGCTCTTTGCGCCTGATGTGTTCCCTCACAGCCACCTCTGGCCCCAGAACAGCTACTCAATCTGCCAGGACGTCTCGGGGAAGAGAGAATGATCTAGAGTGGCCTGCACGGGGCAGAGGGAAGCAGGTTAGGGTCACGTGCAGGAGGTCTTGTGAGCTTATGGTTGATTTTCACCTGCAGTCCAGCTATGAAAGGTAAATGAATGATTGGTGGTAAGAGCTATGCTTGGAGATTAACCCTTAAATAGGGTAGATACGAAACTTGGAGAGACCAATGAAGGAGTTGCATCACGGGTTTGCTGGAGAGCTACTGAGAGCCTAAACTTGGATGGAAAGAGGAAACAGAAGTGAAAAGTTAGAGCTATGAAGGGATACTATGGAACACTTGGAAACAACTCGCTGGGGGGGCTGTGGAAACAGTCAAAAATGATGCCCAGGAAGGATGGATGACAGGGAGAAGGGTCATGGTGGTGGTAGCAGAACCCATGTCCATGCGTGTGTGCGCCTGTGTGTGGGCCCATGTGCAAGGGCGCGGGGACCCAGCCTTGTATGTTGGGCAATGGCCTGTGATGAATTCAGGAGCTTCATTAAGGATACCAAAAATACCTACAAAGTGTACTGAAATCTCAAGTGTGCCATTTGTCCTTCACACCTAAGAGCTCAAATTTCCAAATGTGTATTGTTTGCATTTTAATGCTCTTTTACACATCCCTTGTGCAGGCAGTTGCCTCCATTCCAGGAGCTCAAAACATTTCAGATCATAAGTTCATTAATCCTTACGACACATCTGGCAACTATTAATAAAAAAGACTGTGAAGTCTTTTGCAGCTATAAATATTAAGGAGAAGTCCCAGGAGGCAAGTGGATAGAAGTATAATTATCTACATCTCGCACTACAGACACCAACGCTCGCAGACATTCACCCAGTGGTGACATGCATTCAGGCTGCCCGGTGAGCCAGTCACAGAGACGGAAAAGGACCGACCCCCAAGCACCAGCTGAATGCGCAGTCGCGCTGTCCGCTGAGCACCACTGAAGCTTAGCAGATGAGTGGGTTCCAAGCAAGAGAGCTGCTCCGAAGTATTTCAGGGAAAAGATGAGGGTCACATCTTGTATCACAGCCCGCCATTTTTTAACTCTGGTTTTCACATGCCACATGAATGAAGAAATCAGGGCAGATCACCTCAGAATTTCAACCAGGCATCTGAGTTACTGGGAGACCCCTCTGCCTCAAAGCATAGAGTTTTAACACCTTGGCAAGATGTAGAGACCCTCAGCTCCCTTTGAGGCTGCACTCGTGCCTCGATTGTGGTGCTAACCCCACTCTGAACTGACCACACTGCTTGGCTGGAGCC